TCTATAAAATAAACTTACAAATTTTATATAGGTTTCTATTTGATGATTATTCGATTTAAACAAATTTGTTTATATGTCAAAATGGGTCTTTTATATGGCATCTAGCAGTAGGAAATTTAGCTAGCTATTGGAAATTTTACATTATTAACCATATATACTTGTTTATAGCTGGCAAAGTTCCTGCTTCATCTGTTTAAGTAATTGTGTTATGTGTTATTTATTGATCTTTGTTGATTCAGAATCAACATGTTATTTTGAAATTTTCACTGATTAATAAATGACTTATGTCAATTGTGGATACAAATGTCAGATCTTTAATATTACTGATTATTACTTATCAATCATAATAAAGTGATTTTTAATTAACATTTTAATTAATTACATATTAATTACACTTTAATTAATTATATATTTAATTAATTATGCTTTAATTAATTACATATTTAATTAATTATGTATTTAATTAATTAATAATAAAAATGTAAATTACATATCATTTTGTAATAATATAAATAAAAATAAAGATTCATTTTTTCAATTTTTATTATTTTTTCTTTAATAAAAATGGAAAGACAAACTTTTTATTTTTTTTGCTTATGATTTCTTTGAATGAATACTAGAAACATATATTAGTCAAAAAAAAAATAACTGATATTTAATGGATACTAATTATTACAATAAATATATAGACTTATTAAAAAACTCTAATGCTTCATATAACTCAAAATTTAAGTATTAGGTTAATAATACCTTTAAAATTCTTTGTTTCAGTACAATAAAAAAGCTTTATTTATTAAAAAATGATGAAAATAATCTGGATATACAAATTTGTCTAATAGAAAATTTTTATGAAATGATTTGTACTACATATCAAGAAACTGAATATGATGGTCAGAAAAAAACCTAGAAAAAAATATTTAATTTTAGTTTAAATATTTTTTTAATAAAAGTGTTAATATATAAGTTAATATATTTAAAACTTTTAAGATACAAGTTAGATATTATTATATTTTATAACAAATAATTAAAAATGCAATATATGAATATCAAGTATGCATTACATAGTAAGTTATTAAAAAAATTTCTTCTATTTGTCTAATAGTTTCAAAAGTATTTTTAAATCATCTAAAAGTAAATTTTAAATTTTAATAATTACTAGTTTATTTTATTTTAATTTATTAATTTTATATTAATATTATACTAGTTTGATACAATCAATGTAATAACACTACCTTATTGTCATTTTAAGTATATTTTTTATTAAGCAATCATTTTTCAAGATTCTTTTATACTGAACCTGCAATATCGAAGTCTGCTAAAGAGACTGCTGTTGTTTTATTTAACTTTTGTTTAATATATGGATCTTCTACAATTCTTTATTTTGATAATAGAGGTGAATTTATTAGTAAAACTATTAAAGAAATAATTAGTCTTTAGTTATTCATTAAAATCATTTAAATAGACCTAGAAATCTTCAATGTTAAGGTTTTGTAAAAAAAAAAAATGCCATACTTCAAACTAAGTTAGGTACTTGAATGGAGAAAATATATAAAAATGATTGAAGTGTTGAATTGCAGTTTGTTATTTGTAAGTTTTATAATAATAATAATAATAATAATAATAATAATTATTATTATTATTATTATTATTAATTATTATTATTATTATTACTATTATTATTATTATTATTATTATTATTATTATTAATCTATATATTTTATTTTAATTTAATAAAGAATCAATGAATAACCAATACTGTTCTGCCTATAAATCCATACTATATTAGATCATTTTTGAATAATTAGTCTACAGTAATACAAATATAGTTAAGTTTTTAAAAAATAATTATAAAAATGTTTAAACTAATAATTATTATAATTTATTTAAAGAGAATAATAATTTAGTTGAAGAAAATGATAGTCAGTACAATTTATTAAAAAAAAATAATAATTATTACAATTTATTTAAAAAAATAATGACTATTATAATTTATTATTACTTGAAACTCAAAATGATAGTTATATTCATTCTGAAGATGAATTGAATCCATGCTATTTTTTAGCAAAAAATAATATTGATGATTTTTTAGAAAATCAATCATATAATTCTCTATATTGTTCTGAATTTACTATTAAAAAAAGTAAACTATTATATCTAATAATACTGAATTTAATAATAATACAAATATAACAAATTTAGATATTATTGAAATTAGTAATTCTGAAATAGAAATGTTTTATACTACTTATAAAAAAAAAATGCCAAGCTGATTTCTTTGAACCAATAGAAATAAAAATAAATAAAAATAAAGTATATTTTTCTAATAACTATAGATTAATTTTTTTTAATATTTTATTAATTTATTTATTATTATTAATATTTTAGAGATTACCATTACAAGCTATTACTAATTCTACTCAGTCTTCATTTGAAAATTATAAGAAAATTTGTAAAACAACCATTTTTAATGTTAAAAAAAATTGAGAAATTATTAAAAAGACTGGAAATAAAGTATAAAACTAAGCAAAATAGAATGTTTGAACCTGGTGAATTAATGAAGATTGGTATTCCTCATATTGATAAATTGAAAATGGATAAAAAATCACTTCCATGTAAATAATTCAAAAAAAACCAAATCAAGAATCATATCAAGTTGCTTGTAAATTTAGAGTACTAGAAAATTGGTATCCAGCTAGTGAACTTATGCCTTTAGGCATTTCTGATTATCTTGATCTTGAAATTGTTCCATTAGACAAACCAATTTTACTAAGGCAAGCAAACATAAACCAAAATTATTTATGTCAAGTTAAATCATCAAGACAAAGTATCGAATCTGATTCTTCAAAGTAATTTTATTTATATTATTATGTATTTATTTATTTGATTTTATTTTACTAAATTGTGTATATTACTAGCGATGAAATAAACTATTCAGTATCTAAGAAAACCCGTGATTGCTGCCGTTGTAAAAAACCTAATTGTAATACTAAATCCTGCTCATGCAGAGGAACAATACATTATGTTCAAGGCAATGTGGTTGTATTTTGCGTAGTCAATGCAAAAATTGCTAGATAATTATTTCTTCTTGTAAAATAAAGTTGCACTTAACTTTATTTTCTTTTTTTTTAAAAAAAAAAATAACAATTGCGATTGGTTTTTTTTTAACTCTTAGATTGGTAAAATAGCATTTTTACAATAGCTTATTATAAATATATAACTACACATTTTATAGCTTGTATATGCTTATATTTAATATGCATTTTTATTTATTTTAATATTGAAAATTTTTAATGATTGCTGCGTAAATATTTATTAATCGGTAAAATTCATACCGATTCCAAAGTAACATATGTTATTCTTGGATTCATAAATGACACATGTCGATTCCGAACTGACAGAAATCAATAAACGACGCATAACAATTGCACCATGCCACATATTGTAAATCTGAAAAACATGCTATTCTATTTTCCATTCTATTTGAAAGACCTGTTTGCAGATTTTTTTTGAAAGACATATTAACATAATACATAATACTGTAATATGTATAAACATTTATTTTATATTTTTACTAAAGATCATTCTAAGCTTATATTGTTATAGCCATAATTTTTAATGCTTAATACATTATTTATCTAAATGTTTGTGGTATTTAAACGTATAATGTTATTATCGTTTAATATAACTGAAACGAGAGGAAAAAACCCAAAAATCCAGAAAAGTTTAACAATAACAATAAGTATATGAATTCCGGTATGGTTGATTAGTTGAAGATATAATAAATTTGATTTGAAACTCTGAAGCAGATAGACACTTCAATGTCTATCACAAGAAAAAAAACAATTGAGTCATTTACCGATACAACTGAAAGAATGAACTAAAGATCATTACAATTTATTAAGTGTTTACGTATCATTTTATTATCTGTAGAATAGCGATTGAGGATTTCACTGCTGAATAGAACCTAATTTTAATCGTACTTGATGATCTTAGTTTAGGACCAGTTTCGGCATTCACCCGTTTTTTTTATAAAGTTTGAAGATTTCGAAGATTTCGGAGATTCGGATCTGTGATTTATGCAAAGGTTTTGCAGTGTGAACATTTCAGTTACTACTAATAATAGATACGTAGATCACACAAACCTAAATAATATAAATAGAATAAATATGCTTCCACGAACTTTTAGTTCATGCGAAGCTCGGGGACTCGGAGTATAAACCAAACTTATTTAACATAAAAGTTCTTCGACGTATTTGTGTAAGTTCATTTCGAATAATTTAAACAAAATTGTCAAAACAATGAGGATTAAATCTAGCTTCCTTTTATAGAAAAATCCGATCTTTGGTGATTCCCATACACAAGTTTTTATCCAATAAGGTCGTTTATACTGTACGTGACCGTGAAAGATGCATGCATACAAATAAAAAGAAATTTAGTTGGCAAATATTCATTGTTTCATATTAAATAATGATCATTATAGTTGCATTTTTTAACGGAAAATGACTAGCAAAGTTTTCAAATAACCGTAATAAATCTTATTGTTAATGCCAATTAAAAATCTGTAAACGTTGATTTTAAATTTTGACGAATTAGAAATAACCTCATAAGAAGAAAATAATGCTTTCCTTTTACAGATATATTCTACGATGGAATTCTAGATGGAATGTTTAAAAATGACGGACTTATGGTTCCTTGATTAATGTGTTCCCTTTATGTCATGCAATATAAGCTTAAATATATATTAACCATTCATTTTGTTCTAGTTCTTGTGATTTCAAAGTTATCTTTTGTGTTGATAGATAGAAAAATATGGAAATATAACTTTGAAATTCTAAATTCCGTGTCCTCATTAAATTAGTATATATATATACAGTATATATATATAGCAAGCTTGATTATCCTAAAATTTACTTGTATCTTATACAATAAAAAAACACATTTTTTCATTTTGATAATTTATTCATCAAACTTATTTTTTTCCTGATAACAGTTCTAAATCAATGGCCTCAAAAATTCTTTTCATATTTTTAACTTTATTAATTTATTTTTCTAATGATGGTTTTTCCGCTAATGACGACAGTGGGACATGTGTAGGAAATTTAACAAGACGTGATGAACCACGTTCTGATCCGTTAGGTAGGTTCTAACTAATATGTATTCAATAAATTTTCAGCTTTAAAATATTTATTTACTACATAAAATTTTCATTATTCATTGACATTTTCCGCTTTGTTATAAAAAAAAGGATGTTATATTTTTAATGGCACCAATATAGATGGTTTTGATGGTCTTACAAGTATAGGACTTTCCGATCCATATAAAGACAGAGACGGCAATCTTATGGATCCCGGATTATGTATATACCATTGTGCAAATTACGGATTCACTTATTCAGGTCTGGGAAAATCTAATCAATGCCGCTGTGGAGGGCCTACTGCGCTGGTAACATATACCAAATTAAACGACACTTTAAGTAAAACAGTTTGCAATTTAACTTGCATCGGGAATTCAAGTTTTATGTGTGGAGGTGATAACGGATATACAGTTTATCAAGCTACAATTCCAATCGATAAACAATCACAAATAAGTGCAACAGAAAAAGTCTCAATTATTCGTAACCTCAAAAATAATAAAACATATAATGGATGTATTAGAGATTCTCCATACTGCAACCAAAGAGCCTTAAATGGTTCAAAAAAAGAATTCAGCAGTTTAAGTATTGAAGATTGTGTAGCCTTCTGTAAAAATAATAATTATAATTATGCTGGATTAGAAATTGGTACTGTATACGCATTGAAAATTCTTAAATATGCTTGGTTTTTCGAGCAGATTTCCTGACCTATGAATCAGATTTTAAGTTCAGGCATAATTTAACACGATCAGAAAATCAAACCCGTTTATTCTCAAAAATCTTGCAAAAATCTTTTTTTGTGCATACACTTTGTTAACACCTATTCATAAAATAAATATTAACATCAATGAACTTTAAAGAATTTTGTCTGCTCCACAAACCTCACATTTCAGACGTATGTAACTTCATAATAGCTAACTTTAATACTTTGTTTGACATAGGTTCTCAATGTTTTTGCGACAATAGTTTTGATAGTATGAATATGCTGTCTCCAGAAGAATGTAGCTCTAGTTGCACTGGCAATAAATACGAGCTGTGTGGTGGTCCACTCGCGTTGTCAATTTATAGTGTACCCCCGGATGCTCAGAAAGACAATCGCCTTAGTGAGTATAAATCACTTCAACTTTTTCTCAAAAATAATTTGTGCAAAATGTAATAAATAATCAAAATCTTATTAAATTAATTAATGGTAATAGCAATCGGACTTGGTGTTGGAATTCCTTTATTCGTAATATCTGTCGCAATACTGTGTTGCATTTATAAAAAGAACAAAAACAAACAAACCACAAAAAAATGAGAGACCTTACTTAACAAATTTTTATAATGCTAATGAATTGACCAACATTGACATTTACAAATATTAATTGTATTGGTGACTTTTTTTTGTTCATATTTCTATAATAATTCCTATAAATATATTACGCTCTCTTTCTATTCCTCTCTATATATTCTTATTCGACCTTTTTATTAGTTTTATCTTCCATATTTGTTCTATTTTTGACATTTAATATTATCTCACTTATGTCTCTTAATGTAGGATATATAGGATATATATAATTGTATAATTATAATATTTTAGAGGTTGAATAAATCAAACCTAGAATTATAAAATTGCAGTTTTGTTGACAGTAGAGATGGGCACACGCGGGATTTTTAATATGATCCCGAAATAGCATTAATATATTATCTGACCAGCATTAACATATTTAGCTAATTTCTAATTAAAATTTATTTATTTATTTATTTGCATACTATTTCACATATATGTTTATTTATATATACGATAAGAATTTACATTCTTTGACGTTGGTATCTTTCGCTTACATTACAAAAATATTCTTTATGGCTAAGTCACTCTTTTAAAAATAAATTATATGCGTAGTAATAATAATATTTGGAATCATCTTACAAAAATTGGATCAGATGAAACCTTAATGTAATTACTGTTATTAAACCTTGCAAAAAATACGTGAAACTTCACTATTTTGATTGACCAACGGCAACGACCAAAAATTTAGGCAAAATTACTCGAATTTTTAGTAAAGAAATCGTGGCCGCCCATTAAGTGAAATTAGGGTTTAAAAATTTGTGGTTTAATGAATCCCGCGCGGGATTTTTAGTATAAGATTATTTGGCCTGCATTAGCATATCATCTGGCCTGCATTAAATATCATCAGGCCTGCATTAACATTAAGGGCCAATTTCTAAGACTGGGGTAAAACAAATATATCGAGCACTAAAAATTCATGTAGCTAACAAAAAAATGGAAACAAAAAAATTTAACCGATAAGTAATAAATTAATCATTTTATTTATTTCGAATAACTCAATAAACGTATTATTTATTATCGCAAGGTTTAAATCGGTGAAAAATGATTCTTTACATGAATTTTTAGTCTCGATATATTTGTCACGTGATGTTCGAAACATTTTTGGGTGGCTGTTTTACTCTGGTCTGCATTTCTACATAGAACATTTATTTATTTATCGTTTTATATATATATGCGTATACTTGATTAAATTTTTTTTTTACCGTTGGTAGCTCTTACTTATTATTCCTTGTTATAATAAAAATAACCATTATTAAGTCATTCTTTAAACAACATTATTATAACATGGGTGTTAATAAACCGATTTGGCATCATATTGAAATGCTAAATGTATATAAAATATATTATTTTAACAAGAAATTATATTTCTACTGATTATCTTTATATGGGGACCCTTGTAGCAAAAGGTGGCAACGAAGAAATCAGATTATCATGATTTAAAATTGTTATATGATTTACAAAATTTCTTAAAAACATAATTTATAATCTACATATTATATAAATTATAAATTATGTTTTTGAGAAATTTTGTAAATTTCATGCCAATTTTAAATCATAATTTTCTTATAATCATCTGATTTCTTCATTACCACCTTTTGCTACAAGGGTCCCCATATATATTTTTATAATTAATGAAAAAAAACATTGCTATATTCTGCGAATCCCGCGCGGGATTTTTAAAAAACTGCGATTTGCCCATCACTAAGTGCGTGAGAGTGAAAATCAGGAAATGCATTTAATGATTTATTACTCTCATGAACTCAAATGGATAACCAGCTGATGATTTAATCCAATCGATTAGTTAGAAAGTTGTCAACTAGTTGGTTTTTTCAACTAACGATTTGGATCACTAGTCTAACATTTATTTTTATTTCCTTATTTTGACTATCGCTATCGATATTAATTTAGCGCATGCCTGCCGTAACCAATCATAATAAACCATTAAATGTATTTCCTGATTTTCACTCTTACACACTCATCTGAATTTATCCGGATATCTGGATAAACCGACAAATACTGTATTCGGATAATTATCAGGATATCAATATTAAATCGGATATCCGAATAAATTCAGATCTGAATATCCGATAGACACATGGATAAACGGATAATGGATAGGAACTCTATCTCAGAATTTAACTAGTTGATAATTTAATCGATTAGTTGTTCCAAAATTTTACAAATCGGTTAGTTGGAAAGTTGTCAACTAGTTGGTTTTTCAACTAACGATTTGAATCACTAATTTTAATATACAAATGCGATTTTTAAATTTTAATTTTTTTTTATAGAGATAGGCATTAAAATCGTTAATAATAAATCGAGGTATCAAAGTCTCAGTATAGGCATGTCAATTTCGGCGTTTTTATAGTAAATTTCAGTGATGACTAAAGCCATGTACGCGTTGAGGTTTTTTGATGCATTTAGAATTAGTGGTTTATAAAGATATCATGAATACGATTTATGCAATATGTAGATTAACAATTTAAAGATACATCCGAATTTCAGCCATTTTAAACTTTATACAGTAGTATTAAGGAGTTTTATAAGTCATAATCATAAACAACAGATGATCAGTTAAAATAGTACTATTCATTATAAATTGAAAAGATCATAGCCGATATCAAAAAAGATGCTTTTTTTAGACCTTCAAATGATGGCGGGCATTAATGCAATTTATGTTCTTCCAGGTCATATCCGATAATCAAAAAGATGCTCTTGTTAGACCTTCAGATGATGATACATTTTTTCGACGATGCCTTTTTAGACCTTCAAATGATGTAAAATATCAGTGTAATATATGTCTTTCCAGCCATAGTTGATAGTGTTTTTCCAGACTATTTTATATATTGTGAGATCCGAAAACGTAACCCCGAATGTCAGAAATGTCAGATATGTCATATATATTCGATATATCTGATATATCTCCTATATCGCATAAGCGTGATATATGAAATAGATTCGATATATAGGCTAAATTAGATATGTTCGATATACTAGACAAGTTTATAATGTAAATAGACAAGAAAGTTTATTATAAATAAAGGGCAATTCGCCCAGGCAAAAGCAAGTGATTACAATTGCAAAACTAAAACTAACTACGCGACCCATAATAAAAGTGAAATTGTTATAATTGTTATCATATAAAAGCCAGTAATTATTGTTAAACCCCATTATTAACACTACCTGTCCGTCCAAGAACAACTAAATCCACAATTAAGCATTCTCCATAGTCATGTGTCTAATAACTGAAATGAAAAGAGAAGAGTTTCAACCTTAATTTGATGAAGTGTAATCTTGAGTTGAACATAAAAGAAAATAAGAATTAGAAAAGGATAGATTGAAAGAAAGACTCAACAGAGAAGACTAGTACTTATTTACAGATAAGAATTAACTTGCCAAATCTAACATGTCTATTTTGATTTAATCACTGTAGGTTATGTGAGAGTTGGATTAGATTAATGACAGACTCACTGATTTCTAAGATGATAATATAATATATTATGAGTATAGTATATTAAATTTATATACTTAAATGTGATTTTTGTAGTATACTTCAGTACTTTACTAAACTATATATTACTACTATTCATAATATCAGTTATACAAAGCCTATAAGATTATTTGAGATTGTTAAAAAAATACTTAGTATTTAATAATAACTTGATTATACTAATTTGATAGGTATAATTTTAAAAACTTCAACAACTATAAGGTAAGTAATTGCTAGTAATAATAATCATTGTTATTCAATACATTCTGCATTTTGGAATATAAAATATAATTTTAGTTTATTATTATTATAATTACTATATAAATAATATATATTGTTATAAATAACAAACTTTAGAAACTTTAATATATATTATGTTATTATATTTAATCAAATACACATTTTGAATCTTGGTCATTTAAGTACATGCTAGAATTTATTAAAGAACTTTTATATAAACAATATAAGAGCTAAATACTTCTAATCTTTAAATATCAATTATCTATAATTCCTTGATATCATGATTTTAAAATAATAAAGAATATATCTAATATGACTTACATGATAGTTGATGAATTGTAAAATATAATAAAATAATAATTTTTGTTTTTGATAATTTATATAAGAGTTATAAAAGGTCAGAAATTAGTAATAAATAACTATGTCAAATTTATTACAAATTTTTTTAAATATATATTACTAGCTATAAAGAATTATTTACTTATAATTTTTGTAATTAACTTTAAGTATCAAACAATAGACAACTTTTTAATAAATTTTAATTACTAATAATTAACTTAATAGGTTTTCATTATGAATTAGACAAAAGAATTTATTAAAATATTTTTAAAATATTCTCAAAGCAGTCTTTAATTACCTAAACTTTATATTTGTTGTTATTATATATATATATATTTTTTGGTATTAAGGTGAGACCTTGCTCATATTTTTATTAGTAATTTTAGTTGTACATATTAATATACTATATATTAAAGATATACTAAGATTGTAAAATACAAAATAAAAACTACATGTAAGAATTAAAGCTCAGACAATTTTATCTGCAACCTAAACTGACTATGGTGGTTAAGGTCTACCTAGATTTGTAATGTTAAAATATAATTATAAGATGTGCTATGATTAATCCTGAGTGTCAACTATATGTTGATTTTCCTAATAGCCTGTCCAATCAGTGAACAGGTATTAGGATATAGGTGTAATTAGTCTACTATTCCACATAGACATGAGTATGTATAATTTGTATGTGATCTTTTGTGATGTCTAATTTGTTGTGTTCATTATGAGGTATTGTAGTTGTTAAAAGTTTGAAGAGATGTAATATTATTGTTTTTTTTCTAGTTGGAGAATTTAATACAATAAGGTTTTCATATTTGGTTGTAGATTTGATCATTAATATCAAGAAGTATTTGAATGATAGTTTGTGAGGCTATTTTAGTAGGTATGTTGTAATTATGAA